AAAAAAAAAAGAATGATACCAAATAAAGGTGAAGAAAGAAGCGTACCTTTGGCCATCAAATACAGGTGATTCATCCGATCTGAAAAATCAAAACAATGCCAAAATACAATGGAAAATGAAAGCAGACACAGGTTTGTGATGATCGATATACGCCACACAAAGCCCAACTTTGACATTAGACGTGGCTATGGCTTGACGATAAAGACTTCTTACGGTGTTTTGGAGTCATTTGCTCGCGTTTTGGCATCCCCAGCTGCGGCCGTTGCCTTTTCTTGCATTTTCCTGCGGGTGAGAGGAGAGCGCTCGAGCTGCTTCCTCTCAACACCGCTCGTCGGTGACCTCGAGCGGAAGCTGGCGGAAATCAAAAGTGTTAGCGGTAGCCGAACGGGTGTTTTTGAGAGGCGTTTCTTATTAATGCTCACACGCCGGCCTTGGGAGCCGAGAGAGAAGACGGGGATTCGCGGCCTGGATCCGCCGACCCGCCCTGGTGCTCGGCGAGGGGAAGCAAGGGACCCGAGAAGTCTCCGGGGGGAGAGTCGAAAGGCGGATCTCCTGTGGTGGCGTAGAGAAGCTCCATCTGGGTGGCGGTCCTCCTACGAGCCTGAAGGATCAACGGCAATTACGAAATACGAATAACATCACGCATCATCGCGCAGTCTGGTACCTTGTTTCTCGGACGGGAGTCGCCGCATAACTTCATCACGTCTGACGGCAGCGGGCTGGAACCAGATCAGGGAAGACAAACTGAAAATGTTTTGCCACCGAATCCGTATGCAAATTCCAACGCAGTCCGACTTGAGTTTCTGCCGCCGTCACATTACCTGCCCTCTGCAGCCGGGCTGGGGTTCGACTCATCGCTGCTGCTTTCGTCCCCGTTCTCTACAAACGGGAGAGACGCGTTATTAGGAGGTTTATTCGGTGGGTTTCTGAGAGTAGAATAAATGCTACAGCAGGTCCAAAGCACGGTAGGGTGAAAAGGGGAGATAAAGGGCCCTGCGTGACAGGAAACACGGAGAAACATAATGAGATCATGTAACGAGCTGGTGGAGACACGACGGGAAACAAACAACTATTAAGGCCACTGGGTCGGGATCAATCACACTTGAAGATTTCTCGCCGCCATATTTGAAATCTTCAAGTGTGCAGCTCTCAAAACATAGATCTTATTACTCACCCGGTGACAGGTAACCTAACTCTTGAGTTCCCACAAAAAGATAAAAAAAAACACCAGAGAAGACAGAAAGAAATCAAATTCAAACCCCGATTTTGAGGAAGGCTTCCATTTCATTCTATAAGCAGC